GTTCCAATGTATCTTCCAGTAAACACCACAAGGGCTGGCTTTGGAGGGGAATGTGTTTTGGAAACAAAAAGCTGAGATGGAATGGGGGCGTGCAGAGGGGCAACAGAGAAAGAAGCTCCCAGCTTTCTGCAGCGAGTGACTTCTGCTCTGCCCAGACAGAGCAAACTGCACCGAATGATTTCTCACCACCCCTTCCAGCCTCATGTAATGTAATAGAGTTTCAGGAAAATAACAGGGCTTATTGAAAGAGTTACCCCATAGCAGAAGGGGCCAGTTGTCAGGGCTGTGTTCTCTGTGGTCTCTGTGAAGGTCAGCTAGCCGCCCTGCCAAGGTCAAGTGGAGATGCTGAAGAACTTTAGGAGCCTCCATCCCCATCCTCTCAGGAAGCTGGGTGGCTCCTAGGACAATGTGTCCTAAATAAAAACACTAATGAGTGGGCTAACACCAGCCTGGTTAGTGCAATAGAATAATTGAATTGTTACCACCCCAGAATAGGCATGCTGTCTAATTACCATAAGACCCCAAGAATTTATTGTAGACCTACTATAAAGAGCTGTAATAGGTAGGTACAGACTAGTTAGTGAGCACTATTTAGGATCAGTGCAAAAAATGGGACCAAGAGAATTCCTCCTGAAGGCTTAGAATCTAGATACAAACATCGGATCACTAGATTTTCTCAGAGAAGATGGAATAGGTTTTCCAGTATTAGCCAGGTGTTGCATATCTACAAGTTTTCACACCCAGACTTCACAAAGTAGGAGTGAGCACTGTGGGTTTTACTAGGCACCTCATTAGGGGGATGAAAAGGAAGTTATAGAGTACAACATGGCATTTCACTCCAAAATTCCTTATTAGACATCTCCTACCTAGTCTTTGTTCTTGGCATTAAATATTTCTTCTTTAAGTTGTTCATTTATTTAGCAACCTTTACTTGGGTTCAACCTCTGTCCCAGCACCGCACTGAGAGCCTCTGGTGTTGTGGGAGCCAGGCACGTGAGCTGGGGCACCCCTGAGGAGCTGGCGGCTGGCCAAGGTGAGATCTGGTCCGGGTGGAAGGGGTGGTATGGGCACCTGCAGAGATGTGGCGGCAGCCGGGGTCTGCTGTGTCGTGCTGGAAGTGACAAAAGTCAAGACCTCGCCGGCACCATGAGGAAACTTTGTCTTGATCTGCAGAAAATTGGAAGGCCGTCAGCTTGAATTATTGGTCTGGTTTCTGCCTTTCCTTTTTTTCGCTCTGGCCTCCATGTGCTCAGGAAACGTTTGATTGACATCTTCCAGCCAAAAACCTGTCACGTATTTGAAAACAATAATATTTTGCCACTTGAGTTTCCCTCGTTAGGTTCAATAGTGCTGATTCTTTAACCTTTCTTCTCGGAACCTCTTTTCCATCACACGTTCTGTCTTTTGGTCTGTGTCACTCTTCTCTGGACTGTCTCAGGTTTTTTCCATATCTGTGACAAGGGCAATAATCAGAACGATGTGTGCTTTCCTAAGAGAGAGGAGCATAACAAAATGACTACTTCTCCTTCCCTCCCACACTACTGTCTTCTCAATGTGTCCTACAGTCACGGTGGCGTATTCCCCCCAAGAATGACACAACACAGTTGGCATATTTTCCAGCGTGGGGTGCCTTCTGTATCCTAACCTCTTCCCCCCGTATTTTCACCAGCTGGTCTCCAGACAACCTTCACAGGAGTCCCCACACGTTGGTCCCAGCGTGCCAGTCTGCATTTAGCCCTAACGATTACTGGCCACGGTCCATTTTGATTTAATCATCTCTGTTTATATTTTACCATAAAATCTCCCACACATCCTGGCTTCCTCCCTTTCTGCCCCCCACCCAAAAACAAACAACTCTGGTTCTAGAAAATAAGGTGCTGGGTATCTTCGGATCATGATTTAAACAATGCATTGACTAAAAGTCTTCAAAGTAGCTGGAAGACAAACTCTGGGGATTATTGACAAGTGAGTTACAGTGTCAACCTGAATTTCTGATTATGATGTAATTCCCTTTTCAGACTCCCATCACTCAAGGCAGCGGTCCCCAACCTTTTTTGGCACCAGGGATTGGTTTCATGGAAGAAAATTTCCCATGAATAGGGGTGAGGGGGAGGGCAGGGGGAGGGGGGATGATTTCTGGATGATTCAAGTGAATTACACTCTTTGTGCAGTCAGACCTCTCTGCTGATGGTAATCTGTGTTGGCAGCCGCTCCCCAGCGCTGGCATCACCGCCTCAGCTCCACCCCAGATCACCAGGCAGTAGATTCTCATAAGGAAGGTGTAACCCAGATCCCTCACAATGTGCGGTTTATACTAGGGTTAGCGCCCCTATGACAATCTAATGCCGCTGCTGATGTGACAGGAGGCGGAGCTTGTGCAGTGATGCCAGCAACGGGGAGCGGCTGTAAATACAGATGCAGCTTCACTCACTTGCGCTCTGCTCTCCTCCTGCTGTGTGGCTGGTTCCTAACAGGCCACGGACCGGTACTGGTCCATGGCCTGGGGTTTGGGGACCGTAGACTTAAGGGATATCTTGGCTCTCGAGCCTTTGCTAAATTGTTGCTGTCAGGATTTCAAGAGTTATTTTGAAACCTGTCGAGGACTCGTGACCTCTGGCCTCCAGATTCAGGATTTTCCATAATCCCTACTACGACAACTGTTAAATTACTAAAAGCTTTAGAAGCCCTTTTCCTGTTTTAATTGAGCAAAATTAATTTCCTTCCTTCCTGGTGTAAATTGAGTTGATCTCATTTACCCTTGTTAGGAAGCGGTGATGGTGTTGATTGAATTAAGGGCTTCACACAGGTTTGGGATTGTTGACTGGGGAGAGGAGCTGCCGAGAGAGAGAGTTTCTCTAGTCGGATCAGCAGCCTGGGAGAAATGGAGTCGTCACAGTGACACGGAGGCAGAAATATGCGGCGTCTGTGAATGTGCAAACAGACATAAGGTTAAGGAAATTGGCTTACACGTGAAATCTAGCTTCACATTGAGAATTTTCTACAGTGTCAAGTTCAGTGGCTGAGGAACTCAGAAAATGATGCTATTCTTCTTTTTTTTTTTTAGTCCTACCTGGAGAAACGTAGAGGAGGAAATAGCACACAGTTTTTTTCTGTCCCATTAAAAAACAATGGTATAAAAAGGAGTGAAGAGTTATGGGAAAAGCTAAAAGACTTGTCCCTAGGAAGATTTCATTCACTAAGAGCACATTTAAATAGAACATTCAATTTTTCAAAGGACCTTTCCATCCGTCTCTCTCATGAGAACCCTGTCCGGGAGCCAGGGCAGGCCACCCCTGTCCTGCGGTGGGACAGGCAGGAGAACCTGGGGAGTTTGTCTGGGGTCTCAGGGGGGCGGGGAGAGTGGCCGAGCTAGAGATGAGCCCGCGCCTGTCTTGCTGCCAGTGTGCCCTTCACCCAGCGCCGTCGCCCACCCTGGCCCCACCCCCACACGCCCACCGTAGGAGTGAGAGACCCATGAGGAGGCATCGGACAGTATTTATTCGTGGGTGTGACCACTCTTTCAAAGCTGTCTCTCCCCTAGAGCTGAGGAAGCTCTAGGGGACATGCCAAATACCACAGTGGACACAGCCTGGTGTGTCATTCAGTGTGAACGAAGAGATCTGAGCAGCGCAATGAAGGAAGAGGGACAGACTGGCAAGACGAAGGGAGAATTCGATGGGAGGCGTGCAAGTGGCTCTTCAAATTCCATACACCGGACTGGCTCAGGGGGAAAACTCAGTTGCTGTATTCATTCATTTATCGATTGATTATTTTTAAACAAACGTGTATCGAGCCCCAGCCATATGCCAGGTACCGTAGCTAGAGGCTGGGGATCGCAGGGGCATGGGCGTGATCCCTGCCCAGGGCATCTTGGAACAAGATGACAACCATGTATGTTCGGGTGAGGTCTTGCCTGGGACCTCCCAGCTCTCCCAGCCCCTGAGTCCCTCCCAAAGCCACGGCGCCATCCTCTGCCCTCATCCCGTCACGATGTGCTTGATACCCCCTCAAAATTCCCACTGCACTGTACCCTGTGCCACATGCCCTGTGTAATTTACTTCGTGTGAATTTCTCTATGATAGCGCATCCTCCGATATGTCACAGGGCAGGGACGATGCCTTTCCCTGCACGCAGTGCCTCCTCCACAGTGAGCAGGTGGTAGATATTTTCATCTTTTGCCAACTCATCGTCACAGATCCGTCTTCCTCCCATTTACTTTTCCCTTACAATTTTATAATAGTTGGTCCTCACATCACTAAAGATGGAGCCTTTCTTTTGGGGGACTTTGGGTAGAGGTCTTCCATAAGAACTATGCAAACACTGGGTGCTTCTGGCAGTTTTGGTCTTGCCTTCACGGGACTTAGGCAAGACCAGAAACCGAACCTAAGGCTACCTGCCTCCCCCAGGTGAGTAGGATACCCAGAGCCGCCTAAAATGTCTTCTCTAGTGGTTTTCACATTATCTGAAGTGGCACTATCATATTCATGCTTGAGATAGTCATTGTGTCAGCACTCCCGTAATTAAAAAAAGAAAAAAATGGAAATGAGAGCACGGAAAGGGAAAAGGAAAAATCCGAATGCTACCATTTGCGCCAAGAACCTTATTCTATTTTTTTTTCCATGTCATACATAATTTTACAGAGTTTCAGTTTTCCTTTTAAAGGTCTTTGGGTTCTTGAGTTAGACTTGAATCCCAGATGCAAATTCTGCCTCTGCTCATTTTTAGCTGTGTGATTTTGGGCAAGAATCACATTTGACGGAACCTCTCTGTGCCTCAGTTTCCTCATCTGCAAAATGCGAATAACAGCAGTGCCTATTTCAAGGGGCTGTCGTGGGATGAAAGGAATTGACACAGGCAAAGCGCCTGGCACACGGTGAGTGCTCACAAATGCCGTGACAAGGAAAGAAAGCAGGATACCTGGGCCAATTGACAGTGAGCGTGGCAGCTCAGTCACATAGATTCTGTCATTTATTTACATAGCAACCACTGCTTCCAAGCAACTGGCTGGCAGAGCATTGCCCTGGGGACCCGGGCACTGAGCAGGTAAGTGCAGACGAGGAAGCCCAGCAGAAAGGCAGAGGGAGCAGCCGAGGTCAGGGCCTGCTCGGGGTGGGAGGGGAGATCTCGAGGGAAGGGCAACTAAAAGGAAGTGGGGTTCACTGTAGAGAGGGCCCAGGGGAGCACAGGGCTGGGTCGGCCACCTTGGCCCTGACAACTGCTGTGATCACAGTTAGGGGTTTTGCGGGGAGGGAGGGAAGTCCCGGGCACAGCCAGGACGAGACTGGGAGCTATTCCCTGGCCGAGTTTGGCTGAGTGATTAAAGCCCTGGCGTCTGGTGCCGAGAAGAAATGAGGAAACGAATGCTGGGACCCAACTGGCAGATGTGCTTGTTGTGCCGCGAGAAATTCACAGAACACCAGGCGCCATCTGGGCTGAGAGCTAGCTGTTTGGATGATGCAGTTCACACTTAAGAAGGTGAAGTATTAAACTCCTCGGCGCCCGCCCCCGTCTGCCTCTGCATCTGGGTGGCTGCAAGTGAGGGTGGAACCCCAACATAAAGCCACATTTCAGTGCACAGGTGATGACACTGTCAGTCTCTTCCTGGGAAAAAAAGCAGTCAAAACAGAGCATGCCGGGACTGACATTTTGCACAATATATACAATAAAAATAAGAAAGAAATACATACACATAACAATTTAAATTTCCGACACGAGGAATAACTGTCAATTTTGTGCATGTACAGCAGCCCCGGTGGGCAGACCTGCTAGAGGCTCTAATGTCCCGCTCCTCGAGATGCAAAGGAGACACAGGCTTTTCCTGACAGCCCGGTGCGTCTGTCTGCCTTTGCACACAGCGATCTTAGAGAGAAGTGGTCTGCGTAAGCTGCATCATTACCATTGTCCATTCTCAGAACGTCTCTTGCGCTGGAGAAGCGTGGTTAGATAATAAATAGTTGCTGGTGGAATGCCTCCGGGTGTGGTTAGATAAAAAGAAAGGAAGGAAAATATATGGCACCATAGGGTGGGGTGGAGGGGGCTGGGGTTGGGCAACTCTTGATTTTCAACCTAAGAGTGACAAAGGGACAGGAGGCAAAATATGGACTCTATAGCTCAACCAAAGTGAGCCCAGTTGGCTTCTAAATAACAGCACTGAATGCACCGAGAACTGCATCGCTCAAACAGCTGCCCCCCAGAAGCAGCCCGATAGGACAGGCGTAGCAAGGCACGTGGGAGCGAGGCTGTACCCCTGTCTTTTAGGGGCTCACAAGCTAATGCTCCTGACAAAAGTAAGGAAGGCTTCTAATTCCACTCAGAAAGTTCGAGGATTAAAATACTCCAGACAAGGAAAAAAGATCAGAGGAGGGAGAGAAAAACGAGATTGGCAAATTGTCGATAATTATTGAAACTGGGTGATGAGTCTGTAAGTATATTGATGGGGGGGTCATTATCCTGACATTTCTAGTTTCTTGTATGTTCAGACATTTTCCAGATAAAAGTTTGAAATGGCGGGGAGGGGGGAGGAAGGAGAGGAGCTATACATCTGTACATATATATTTTCTTTGAGCAAATTTTGACCTGGTTGGTGGGATTATCTTGAGTATGTTGGAAAGGGAGTGGAGAGAGACCAGTCATTAGTTAGAAATGGGAACGCAAGGTGGTAGGAATGTTAAGGAGAGGAGAGAGTTATTGTTAGCAGGGGAGACTCCGGAGCAGACAACAGCTGGGGCCTTGAGTGCCCATGTGCAAGAGAAAGTGCTAGAAGAATGTCAGGTTCACTCATTCTTTCAACAAATACTGAGCGTTTTTGTGTCTGGGCCTCATTCAAGGCCCTGGGGACAGAACACGAGGCAGATAGAGGCGTCTTTGGCCACATGGTGCTGATGTCCCAAAAGAGGGCTAATAGGGACGTGAAGAAGTTTCCATGGAGCCTCTGTGCCCTGTCTGGGGGTCCAGCTCCCTAACTCAGGCCCTGCCACTGCTTCTGACCCTTCTATCCAGAAGGTCAGGAGTGCACTATGGGTAAGGACAACTGGGGGTGAAGAGCTGCGTGCCGGCCGCTCAGGCCCTCTTCCCTCTCTTGAGGATCTGGGCTCTTCCTCTCCCTTCCTGCTGCCATGTGGCCAAGCCCTGAGACGCTTGCTACATGGCCCAGAATGACGACTTCTGACATCACAAGTACCATAAAGGAGAAGGCACAGTCAGCATGCCAGGCAGAGTGATTGTCATTGCAAACCAGAGCTCCCCACTTGCGGGGCTGAGTAGCATTTGAGGCAGGCCCGCGAGGAGATCAGCTACTTCTCCCCGTGGAGCCAGGTCCCTAAGACAGGGGTCGCCACAGAGGATAAGGAAATTGATAGGCAACAGAGAGAAATAAAAGAATACACAGAGACTAAGGTATAGTTCATAGTTTTTTTTGTTTTTTTTTTTGAGACAGAGTCTCACTTTGTTGCCCAGGCTAGGTGAGTGCCGTGGCATCAGCCTGGCTCACAGCAACCTCAATCTCTGGGGCTCAGCGATCCTACTGCCTCAGCCTCCCAAGTAGCTGGGACTACAGGCATGCGCCACCATGCCCCGCTAATTTTTTGTATATATATTTTTTAGTTGGTCAATTAATTTATTTCTATTTTTGGTAGAGACGGGGTCTCGCTCAGGCTGGTTTCGAACTCCTGACCTTGAGCAATCCGCCTGCCTCGGCCTCCCAAAGTGCTAGGATTACAGGCGTGAGCCACCACGCCCGGCTATAGTTTTATATATATATAAAGATCAGATATAACACAGCGGGAAGTACCTAGGGGACTGGCATATCTCCATCAACGCCAGCAATATGGTTAGATTCATACAAGTTTTTATAATCACAGACATCAATTACCAGTTGTCAGGGTAACATATTTGCACATCAGGGAATGCAGTTGCTAGGGGATACAGGTAGTGGGTTAGGGTCAAAAGTCCTCTCAAGGGGCTTCTAATCTATCCAGGTGAACAAACAAGTACAAAGTCTTTTAGGGGCTAGCTTCTAAGTTTTAAGAGGTAGTTGTCAATTAACAGAGGTAAAACAAAAGAGGTATAGTGACTCAATATTTCTTTGATTAGTTATGGTGGACTTACAGGTAGACAGACAGGAGAGAGCAGGAGGCCCATCTCTATTAAACAGGTTGTTTATAACTAGCGGGGCGCTTCTCTGGGCAAAGTGCACTCATTGTCTCCGGCTCCCATCCTGCGGGCCATATTTGCCTTGTCTTGTCGTTCAAGACACAGGGAAGCTCACAGATTTTGAGACACTGGGAAGCCTTCCTGGAAAACATCCCCGCCGGAGATCTGAGAGCTCTCCCATGATGGCGGCCTCTAATAAGTGGACCATTGAGTCCACACATTCCTTCAGGGCAAAACCCTGCAAACTCCTGTTTCTGCCTTTAACATAGTAATATAGGGTTATACAATAGAATAATGATCTTATGAGCCACGTTTCATTAATTCCTCAGTCATATTTCCCCATCGCCCACTTCCTGGAGGGAACATTGCACCAGGCCAGGAGGCTGCCGTGGGGCGTGCCAAGCCCTCCCTCCACGCCTGGACCTGACCTTAGCAGGTGCCCTCAGCAACCCCTGCCTCGCTTCTGCCACCACCGCCCGGGCACTGCCCGGAGGCTCTCCCCGCTTTGCTGTGCTCTGTCATCCCTACCTGAGCCCCCCACCCCCTGGGGAGGCCGTGACCAGCTTCCCCAGCAGCAGTTCCAGGAAGGCATCTGCTCCGCGTCCGCTCCCGCTGCGCCAAGGTCCAGCCCAAACGCTCAGATTAGAGCTTGTCAGGCAAGTGCTGAAAGCCTGCAGCAGGACTCATTTGTAAGCACAGTAATGAGACATCCCAGGACGGGAAGCCTGGTTTTATTTTTAACACTGCAGAGCTGACACCCCTGAATGCTTATACTACCGGCTGCCAGGCGAAGGAGGGAGCGGGCGGCGCTCAGGGTGCGGGCTCCGTGTGCTCGTGGGACTGGAGGGACATGACGCCTGGGGACAGTGGCCCGGGGTGAGCACAGGGTGGGGAGGAGGCTCACCGCCAACACCTGCTCTGACTTGGACCTGATGAAGAACAGCTCTGGCACGAGGAGCTTGTCAGGCACCACAGCGCATCCTGGGGGCGCTTGAAAAACTGCCCGGGGAGGCTCCTAGCCTCTTACCTCTTACCTGGTGCCTGTGGATTCTGGGTGCCGTGAGTCCTGCCCCGCCATCAGAGCTGGGCAGGTGCCACGTGCTCTGAGATCTCTGATCGATTTGTTCCTGGCAGGAACACAATTGGCTATTGTGGGCAAATCGGCTGTCACAGCACTCAGCCCCACTGTCGCCCCAGCAGGCTGGGGCTCCCCAGCAGGAGGACATCCTGGGCCTTTCTCTCCCTCTCCCCACACCTGGTCTCTGGCTCCCTGCTGCTGCACACCAGCTCTTTTCTGCTGCGTCCTCTGCAGCCACGGGGCCGCTTGTTCTCCCAGGCAAATGCTGAAGGGACACTCTGCTCTCCAGCAGACTGCTGCACTCCTATATTTAGCCGCATTGTGGAATACTGACAATGATCCTTTGTACTGACAGCACACCTTCTATCAGGTGTTTGCGCTCTGCAAACATCAACAGCACAGCACCCTTGGGGAGGAAGGATTGTGCCAAGCCTTCCGATGCCAGGCTTGTAGCTAGAGCGACCAAGGCCCGGGGAGGCAGGGTGTCGCCAAGGTCTTCTAAAGAGTCAGGAGCCAGAATGGAACCAGGAGCTGCTCCTGGAAGGTTTTCACCTGACGTGTCTCTTTCTGGGCCTGCAGCTCCCCAGAGCCCCTCCTCTCTCCCCCCCAGCACTAAAATGTTCCTTCACTCACACAGATGTCCTGGGTACCCAGACATGCTTGTGACTTGGCTTTAAAACCCACATGCTGACTCGATAGAAACACAGAAATGCTGTCTGTGCTGAGGCTGGCATTTGCATCACCATGGCACCTCGATGCTCAGGGGAGACGTTTCCCCCAAAATCCATACCTTGGCTGAATGGATCTATGAGGGTGGGGCCCCAGAGGAAGTGCTATGGAATTTTGGGAGGGTAGTTCAGATCTCATCTGTTTTATGACACTGAGCAGCCAATCAGATGCCCCCCTGTACAGAAGTGGCTGGACACAGGCAGTCCTGGGGTACAGAGACAAAGCTGTGGGGTGAGGGGTCCTGGGTAGAGACCCTCAGGGATTCCTTGGGCACCAGCAGGATCTGTCCTTTTCGACAGAGCTGATCACACCATACATTGGAAGCTCAAAACCAATTGCTTTCCTTTCCTTCTCTTGTCACAGATAATTAACACTCCTTTATAGCAGATGCAATGGATGTGGCAACAGTTCTGATGCCTTAGCAAAGGCAGAAACGGCAGAAAGTGGTGTTCACCAGAATGAGCTTTTGGTACGGAGTACTCCATGTGGGGGTAGGACAGTGCAATGGTTAAGACACAGGGTTTGTGTTCCCCAATATGTATCCCATTCTACAACTGATAACTGACACTATTCATGGAGAGATGGGGGGCTATGTTAGCAAACCAGGGCAGGTACTTGCAAATTTGTCCACCATAGAACATGGGTGTGACTTCCCAGGCCAGTACATAAGAGGCAACAGCACTTCCATCCTGGTGCCCGGGGTGACTCCCTCTGAGGGAATTCAGCCTCCACGCCGCACACTCAGCAGCCCATGGAGAAGCCCGTGGAGAGAGGGGCCCAAGCCTCTGGCCTCCAACTCGTACCAGCTTCCCAGAGGAGTGCACGGGGCCCTCTTGGGGGCAGGCTGTCCAGCCCTCGCAAGGCTTCAGGTGACTGCAGCCCCAGCCAAGTTACAGCTGCAACCAATGATGGAACTCCCAGGGAGAACTACCAGCCTGAGTCCTTCCTGAGTTCCCCATCAACAGATGCAGAAAATCGTATGGTTTTTTAAGCCACTGTGTTTGGGGAAGAAAAGTCTTAAGCTAGCAGAGATTGGTTCATGAAGTTTAAAGAAAGAAGATGTCTCCCTTACATAAAAGGGCAAGGTGAAGCAGCAAGTGCTGGTGGAGAAGCTGCAGCCAGTCGTCCAGAAGATCTAGCTGAGATCACTGATGGAAGTGGCTACACTAAGCAACAGGTTTTCAATGTAGACAAAACAGCCTTCTATTGGAAGATGCCATCTAGAATTTTCATAACTAGAGAGGAGAAGCCAATGCCTGGCTTCAAAGCTTTGAGGACAGGTTGACTCTCTTGTCAACCTGCAGCTGGTGACTTGAAGTTGAAGACAGTGCTCATTTACCCATCTGAAAACTCTAGGCCCTTAGGAATGAGGCTAAATCTACTCTTCCTATGCTCTATGGATGGGACAACAAAGGCTGGATGACAGCACATCTGTTTGCAGCATTGTTTACTTAATATTTTAAGCCCACTGTTGAGACCTACTGCTCAGGAAAAAAGATTTCTTTCCAAATATTAGGTGACAATGCACCTAGTCACCCAAGAGCTCTGATGGAGATGTACAGGAGATTAATGTTGTTTCTCTGCCTGCTAAGACAACGTCTATTCTGTAGTCCATGGGTCAAGTAATAATTTTGACTTTCAAGTCTTATTATTCAAGAAATGCATTTCATAAGGCCATAGCTGCCACAGAGAGTGATTCCACTGATGGATCTGGGCAAGTAAATTGAAAACCTTCTAGAAAGGATTCACCATTGTATGTATCATTAAAAATACTCATGATTCATGGGAGGATGTCAAAATATCAACATTAACAGGAGTTTGGGAGAAGCTGATTCCAACTTTCTAGGGCAACTTTGAGGGCTTCAAGACTTCAGTGGAGGAAGCAACTGCAGATGTGGTGGTAACAGCAGGAGAACTAGAATTAGAAGTGGAGCCTGGAGACATGATTAAGTTGCTGCAACCTCGTGATGAAACTTGAACGGATGAGGAGTTGCTTCTTACGGGTGAGCAAAGAAAATGGTTTCCTGAGATGGAATCTACTCCTGGTGAAGATGCTGTGAACACTGTTGAAATGACAACAAAGGCTTTAGAATATTCCATAAACTTAGTTGATGTGCCAACTCTTACAGTGGCAGGGTGTGAGGAGATTGCCTCTGATTTTGAAAGAAGTCCTACCGGGAGCAAAGTGCGATCCAACAGCATCACATGCTACAGAGATATTTTTCATGAAAGGAAGAGTAAATCAAAAGTAGCAAACTTCATTGTGTCTTATTTTAAGAAATTTCTATAGCCACCCCAGCCTTCAGCCACTGCCACCCTGATCAGTCAGCAGCCGTCAACATCAACATTGAGGCAAGACTCTCCAATGGCAAAAAGATTACAACTTGCTGAAAGCTCAGAGAATTGTTAGCATTTTTTAGCAATGAAGTATTTTAAATTAAAATATGTACCTTTTTTTAGATATAATGTTATCGCATACTTAGGCTACAGTATATGTAAACATAACTTTTATATGCACTAGGAAACCAAAAAATTCATGTGACTTGCTTTATTGAGCTATTCACTTAACTGTGGTGGTCTGGAACCAAACCCGCCATGTCTCCAAAGTGTGCCTGCAGTACCTTTATCATAAGGCAGGTCAGCCAAAGGTGCTGCGGGAAGGGAAAGGCATGGAAATGCAGGCCAGGGAAAGCCATTGTAAAAAGTGGATACATATGCTTCTCTTCCATTTATATCCTCTCTGCCTTGGATGCCGTATCATTTATAATTAAGTTCAGCCAAATAGAAAACCCAAAACAACAGTTGCTTAAGTAAGTCCTGTTCTTACTTAAGAAGGTTTCTCTGTTGTAAAAATTCTGGAAGTAAGCAGTTCAGGGACGGTTCGGTGACTCCATGGTGACAGTAACCTAGGCTCCTTGAAATTTTTGCTTTGCCACGTGCAACTTTCATTCTCATGGTCACCTCATGGTTCAGAATGGCTACTGGAGTGCTAGTCATTACTTCTGAATTCCAGTCACTTATAAGGGGGAAAGGACAAAGAAGAGCATGCCCCTTCCATTTAGAGATACTCACTGGAAGTTGCACATGCCAGTTCTACTTGCATCCCATTGGTCAGAACTAAGTCACGTGGCCATATCAATCTGCAAGGGAGGCTGGGAGATATAGTCTTTATCCTGTGCAGCCAGGTACACAGTTATAAACTGACATCTGTGTTACTACTAATAAAGGGAAAATGGGTATTGGGGAAACATCAAGCAGTCTGCCACAGATGCCAAATCCCCTGTACCCATCATCCTTAATGACTAAAAAGGCCATGCGTCCAACAGAAATCTAGGCTTGTACCATTCCTCAGATTCTCTCGGTCTTACATCTCTAAGGTCTTTGGCCACTTCTTCCATTCCAGCCACTGCTGTGCTGACCAGTTCTGCATGGGCCGTGACCAGCTTCTCAAGAGCTTGAGGATGCCTCCCACCCTGGACATGAGGAGCAGCTGCTTAGTGCCTCACCTCCAGCCGGGGTTTCTCTGCTGGGCTGTGCCGTGGGATACCAAGAGACCACATAGTCTCCATATATGTGCAACCACAAGCGAGGGGGAGTTCCTGCCTGCGGTGCAAACCTTTGACCAACGGAGGACGGTAGGCGATGGATAAACTCTCCTGCTCTCTTCCCCACAGAAGGGCTGTCCCGTGGTGCCCACAGAAGGGCTGTCCCGTGGTGCAGTCCTTCCTATTGCATATCCAAAGATGGTCTTGCAAAGTTGCATCATTAGTTGAGCTTAACCACAAGCAGTGGCCAGTTCAGTTAGATCCCCTTATGGGCTCTCTCTTCTTCCCTGTGTCTTCCCCCTCTTCCCTCACTCTTCTTTCCTCGGGAAGGCACCCCTAATATTAATAGAAGCAGCCCACATGCCTTAGCCCCAGGCTCTGCCCTCTAGGGAAGCCAGGCTAAGACACGACTATTGTGCCAGTGATGTCTCCTCTCCAGCCAGACTCCCTCCTCCTCCCCTTTTGCTTTCTGGGGACCTGCTGGGCCTGGGTGCTTCTGGCTGAGTACTGTGTAAGAACCAAAGCCAGTCCTCAGGCAGGCTCCAGTGAAGCCCTGCTTGGTTTGATGCCTTCCAATCTTTTTATCCCGGACAAAATCAGCCTCCCAAATTTAACAAGGTTTCTGGTTATTTCAGGTTAAAAAAAAAAATTGAAAATTAAAAAGTGACTTTTTCTAATCAGCTTCAGGCTATGTGCACAAGGTTGATATGAAACATAAATGAATTTTGTGTTTAGACTTTGGTCCCGTCCCCAGGATATCTCATGTATATGCAAATATTCCAAAATCCAAAAAAATCCTCCAACAAAGGATGCTCAACCCATGCAGCAAATCCAGATCTGTTCAGAGTTGGAAGTTCAGCATCCAACTCAGCAAAGACTATAATTCTGGATCTTGCAACAGCCCATGACTGGTTTCTGCAAAAGCACCATGACGTCTCCCAAAAAGTTAAAAGGATTTAATGTTGCTTTAAGAATTTTTGCATACATTCTTTAAGCCCATTGACAAAATTGAGACAACCCTGGGGGTTTATAAAATCTGAATTAGAGATCTTAGAACTTTGTTTTTTAAAAGTACCATCCTTCCCTAAATCTTTCATTACCTATCTGATATATACAACTCTAATTTTGCAATAAAACTGAATTCTTTTCCTCTTGAAATTTGTTTCCTTAAATCAGAATAACCCATTTCAATTCCCACCTGTGGTTCGAGAGCCTGTGGAGCCATTCTATGTCATTCTGTTTAAATTTGCCAGCATTAATTTAGCAAGCCATTTCCCATAGCAAAGATATCCTTGGTCACTTTTTTTTGGATTTAAGCTGCACTAAAACCTAAGGAAATATTGAAACCTTGGAAGAAAGCAGTAACTTTTCTTCCTCCTTCTTCTAGATCTAAGGGTCCCTGGTCACTCCCGAATTACTCCCATCAACTAAAGCCGCCATCTACTGATTACGTATCCTTTGAAGGAAGCACAATTATTCTAAGAATGAACCACCCGTAAGTGACGTAAGTGACGACTTTTCTACGCATTCCCGATGAGATGACTTTGAGGCTCGAGATCTGTGCCGTCTACCCAGTCACACGCAGCCAGCCCTGTGTGCTCAGAGTGTGTTGTCAACAAGAGTTACATCACAGCTGCCAGCGGAGGGTGTGCCTGGCAGGCTGGCACCAGCTTCCTCTGGGGCCCTGCGTGTTCAGGAGCAGGATAAACCAACAGTGCCAGGGGTGATAGGTAAAATTCAGCCCCAACTTTAAAAGTTATTCTGAGGGGAGAAAAAAAAATCTCTTCTCCCTCCCTTCCCTTGGCTTCCCTTGGCCGGTGCTTTCCTCACCCTGGGAAATGTGTTTGCTCTGCCCAGCCCCCGCTCTGCTCAGTCTCACAACTCAGCCGGATTTTCTGCTGAGCCAGCCAGTGGGAGCAAACATTACGGTTCAGTATGCCTGTGTGTGTGTGTGTGTGTGTGTGTGTGTGTGTGTCTGGGAGCACGTGTTTGCGCGTGCGTCACTGTGTGTGTGGTGTGAGTGTACTTGTGTGGTATATGTGTGTGGTGTGAGTGGGTGGCATGTGTGTCTCTGTGTGTGTGTGTGGTGTGTGTGTCTGTGTGCAATGTGTATGTGTTTGTGTCTCTGTGTGTGAGTGTGGTGTGTGTGTTTGTGCTCTCTGTGGTGTGGTATGCATGTTTGTGTGTGGTGTGTGTTTCTGTGGTAGTGTGTGTCTGTGTGTAATGTGGGTGTGCATATTTGTGTGTGATATATGTGTCTGTGTGTGTTATGTGTGTGTTTGTGTGTGATCTGACTATGTGTGTGCCCATTGTTGCATGTAATATGAGTGTATATGTGGCATATGTGTGTTTGTGTGTGGTATATGTGTGTCTGTGTGTGTTTGTGTTCTCTAAATGTGTTTTTGTGTGTGTCTGTGTGTCTGAGTTTGTGGTGTGAATATGTTTGTGTATAATACAGTGTGTGTGATGTGTGTGTTTGTGTGGTATATGTGTGACTGTGTGTCTGTGTGTGTTTGTTTGTGTTCTCTATGTGTGTTTTTGTGTGTGTCTGTTTGTGTGTCTGTGTTTGTGGTGTGAATGTGTTTGTGTGTAATATAGTGTGCGTGATGTGTGTGTTTGTACGTGGTATGACTGTGTGTGTATGTCCGCATTTGCATGTAATATGAGTGTGTGCGGTGTGTGTGTGTGTGTGGTATAAGTGTGTGTGATGCGAGTGTGTTTGTGTTCTCTTTGATATGCATGTTGGCATGTGGTGTAAGTGTCTGTCTGTGTGTCTGTGTGTCTGCGTGTCGCTTTCCCTCTGGTCTTCCTCCAGTACCATGAGCCCACACAAGCCACACTTCCTAAAGCAGAACCCCATGTGCACCCCACTCCAAGGAACTGCAGCAAAAGAAGAAAGGAAACCCCCCTCCGCAGTCGGAGAGCCCGAGCAGAGAAGGAGGTCCAGATTCACCCCTTCCTCCCAGGCCTGCCCTGCGAGCGAGAAGGTAGCCTTACTGAGCACCGTGCCGCGGTCTTGAGTGTGGTGACTCATCTGTGCCCTTCCGGTTCTCCTTCATTAGGGAAAGAACGTGCTTTTCTGTGTTTAATTAATGCCAGCGATTCGGGAGTTCCAGAGAGGTGGGTCCTAATTAGCCAAGTAGGGTTTCCACCACCCAGAAAGCCCGCCAGGGAGGGTTACGGCTGCTCAAGTCGCAGCCCCAGGAGCCCGAGCTGGACCAGGGTAGGGAGGTGCAGTTTGGCTGTCAGTCACCACCGAGACAACCCGAGAAAGGGTTGCGACACCAGGGGCTAAAGCCCTGAGCACCGGCTTCCTTGTCCGCAAATTGAGGGCGCTGGATCTCTGCCAGCGCACACACGCGCGACTCCAGGAGGTCCGTCAGCGCTGGGTCCGCGCTAGGAAGTCCCCACTGGGAAGCTGGGTTAACACGCAGCTTGCAGGCTTGGGCCTGAGAAAGCCAGTGGCATCGCTAAGGGAAATAATAGAGCAAGGGGGGGGGCTACCTGCTTCCGTGGAATAAATAGGGTTTTTAATGAAAGAAGGGTAAGCCCCAAGCCAAATGACATCGCAGCCATTCAGGTCTAGCTCCTGCATAATCCTTTTTGCTTATCCATCTCAGTAAAGGATTTAAAATCAGCAACTTCCAGTTTAGATGGGTTTGAGGGTCACTGTTTTTTATCCTCAGAGGAGTATGGGCATGTAAGTCTTATTTTCAACTGTGCGAAGCATTGTAGCAGGAGTGGCAGGCAGGAGCGGTGGGAGTGCAGCTGCGTGGAGGTCTCAAGCCCGATGCCCTAAGGCTCCCAGCCAGAGTCCTTCCCGGAGAGTCCTTCCTCCGGCACCAGGGAGCCCTGCCTGGCAGAGGGCTGCCCTCCCCCGCCGGAGCCAGCGCTGGGTAGCTGGGGGCATGATGAGCAGGCTGGGCTCCCTGCTCTGTTTGTTTGCATTCCATTTGATGAGGCAGCTGGCAAACCCTCTCCACCGGCTCAGCTGCGTGGTGAGCTGACTGCGGCTACAGGCTCGGATGTGCTCAGAGGGGGTGGCCTGGAGCTCACGGGATCATCACCTGCCTCCAGCCAGGAATTCCATCTGTCCCAGTGGCACCCAGGATGTGAGGGAAGCATGGCCTCATCCACTCCCAACCACTCCCAAATGGATTTTTTCCTCCCTTTCTGGGGTGGGGGGAGAGGGGAGACAGGAAAGACATAGCATCACCAGGCACTGAGCATTTTCAGCAAGCAGAGCCTCCCGTGAAACAGGGGGATGGGAAGTCTTTGAGTGACTGCTGGGTAGCAGTCCAGGCTGATAAACCCAGCTGGAGAGGAGCAAGACAGGATGCCCGGCAGGAGGCGCTTGACCTCTCTTGGCTCCAGAGACAAAGGGTGTAACTAGGAAGTGGGGTTCTGAGCCCCAGGAAGGACTCCAGGAGTCTGACTCAGATGCTGTTATTGAAAGGTGTTGATTAGGGGAGTGGCTAAAACGGGAGAAATCCCGAGTCACCCCGTGGCCATGTGACACCACAACCGTGTACTTAGTGAGATTGTGCCTGCGCCCCGAGCCATTTCCTGATCCAAAACAAATATTTGAGATTGGAGAGCGGAGTAAAGCTGCAGAATGTTTTGTAGATTTTTCGCATTTTCTCTGCTGCAACTAGAGGCCTTGGAGAGCCTTGTTTGTGGCAGTCCATGCAAGAACCTTGTTTCCGTGGGTAGTTTGCACCGAAAGCCAGTGACTTCATACATTACGAATGTCCTCTCTGGCTGGCTCCTTGGTCTCCACTTGCTCTTCTGTTCTGGTTGTATAATTGGTCCCTGCACAGAATTTTCAAAAGCATCCCCCCCAGACTAAGGGACAAGGGGTATATGGCCCGGGAACAGTCTCTTCTCCAGCCCTGCAGGCCGCACTGATGCTAGCCTGGCACCCTCCACCTCAAAGGAGGAGTTTGGCAAACGCAAGGCTGTTGGAAGGTAGAGGTGCTCGTCCTACCTCTGTCACTGGCAGGATATGTGATCGGAGTGACTGGCTTACCCTCTGTGGCTATCAGTCTCCCAACCTGTGAAAATTGTGTCCAAGGTCCCTATCCCACTAAACTTTTAAGCTCAAATGTGTCTGGAATAGACACTCGGGAACACTTTAAAGTCTGATGTGGGCTCTGAGTCCTCTTGGGGCGGGTGTGCCCTGTCCTCTACCTCAGCCAGAACTCGGGCTCTGGAGCGAACGGAGCCAGTCCTCAGAATCACCTTGACATTGCACGAACCTTTCTTGTGGGTTTTTAAGTCACATTTTCTGGTCTATTAGAAAAACAACAGCAACCACCAGAGACCATCCAGAACTAGAAAAGTCTAAGGGAACAAGGAAAGAGGCGACCTAAGGGGACAGGGCAAAGGGTGAGTTCTTCAGACCAATTGCTTCACTGCAATCATCTTGCCACTGAGCTTTCATGTTTCCAGTGCCAATGTCTTCCAAAACACATTCTCTCTCTCTCTCTCCCTCTCTATTCAGAGATCACATTTCCTCTGCCTTTTGGCATTATCTGCCACGTCTCAAATTTAATCAGCCCTTTTTTTTTTTTTCCTCCATCTTGGCAAAAGAACCACAGGGCTTGATTCTTATTAGACTAAAGTTACATAAGTCCTGCCGTTCAAAGAGGGAATTGAGTCAGCAGGACGGCCCTGACTAAGCATTCCCAGGTTGGCCATAGAGGGGCCGAATCTCCGGTCCTTGTTTTGGCCTAATTCCCGCTGAAATCCAATGCCCAGTAAGAACAGCAAGCTTTGTACATATAATTATGAACAAAGGTTTTTAAGAGGCTAGAGGGCAAGAAGTAGGGATCTGCATCTCCCTATCAGGAATTAGCCCATGCTCATTATTGTAATCGCCCGATTGTGCGGGCACGGGCGGCAGGCAGCCCATCATCCCGAGCCCATCCTCTGCTCGGCCATCCCACGCCCGGCCCGTGGCATCGCGCCACCTCCCGCAACGGGGCCGTGGGGGAGAAATGACACTTGGAAGGATGTTGCGTGTTCTTCATCCCCTGCTACTCACCGCAACCTCGTGTTTTTATTACTTAGCATTTTATGCAGTAAGTTACCCTGAACAAGTGCTTTGCTGTCATGGAACTAAAAAGGGAAAGCAGGAGGTGTTAAAAACGCTGCGTCATCGTGGCAGCGTGGAGGGCGTGCGCAGCGGTGGCTTTAGAGAACAAGGTGGACTGGGTGTTAGCAGGCACGGTAATGTGGAGATTGGGTCCCCACAAATTGCAGCTCTTTGCTCCAGAAAGGCAGGGCCAAAAGGGCACGCGATAGAAACAGTAAGTGCTCTAATGACTTGCAGAGGTTCCCAATCCTGGCTCCACATGAGAAAAATCGTGGGGAATAGAAATGAGTCACAGCCTGCCCTGCCCACCAGAGGAGGCTCCCTGGAGGGGGGGCTCAGGCACTAACACTTGCCCAGGCTCTGCAGATGATCCTGAGGCACGAAGGGCTGGGAGCACCGAAAAATAGCGAGCACTGTTTTCTTCACTGAAGAAGTGAGTTGGGAAATGCTCCAAAAGCTGAAAAAAAAAAAGACCGTTAAAGTATTCAATAAATAAGATACGATTCTTGTATAATATCGAAGATAGCAGCAACTAACTCTCCTTATCCATCAAGTTGCACGCTAAAGGGTTTACTTGCATAAATTCACTTAATTCTGATAACAATGAGGGTGTGAGTTCGTACACAGGTGGAGAAAGATTTCTCAACAAAAAGATTAGAATTGTTTTAAGGAAGAAAAGTTTATTTTACTTCTCCAATGGGGAGAAGGGCACAATATGAAGAAAGAAGTGTTGGCCCTGAATAGAAGCTGAGGATTTTTATGGGGACAAAGAGAAGAGAGAAAAGAGCCGGTTGTGGCTGTCAGCTAATAACAGAAGTGGCTGTGAAGCTGCTGCCTCTGCTTTTTTTTTTTTTTTTTTTTCCTTTTTTCTTCTCTGTGACGCTGGTTTATCAATGTCCTTGAAATGTGCCCTGGAGAGACCTGGGGCAGGGGGCTCACAGCTCGCTGTCCACTTAGGGCTCTTCGAGTCTGTGAAAATGAAACTCTCAGATAAAACAATTTTAATCTTAAAGACAAACGAGTTGTGTCCCACGTAGCTGGATCAAACAAAATAAACGGCAGTTGTGCTGTGAGTTTTCTCTACAAAGAGGCAATTATGTGCTGTGAGTTTATTCCTCTTACTTTCTTTTAGACAGTTAATTTTTCTCTGTTAGCTAGCTTATTAGCAAGGACATCCTTTCAGTAATCCCCATGAAGGACATACCATGATTGGACCCATTTTACAGATAAAGACACCAAGGCTTGGATGCAGTTAACTTGCCCAAGGCCATCACATTGAGATCTAGCATTCGAAAGGCACACGCACCTAGGTAGCAAAGGAAATGCCAAGATAAATAAGATATAGGCGGACCTTCAAGTTGAGGTCCAAATGATTAAAAGTCCAAAACAGAATGTGACAACTGTCATAGAGCTACAAAGTGTGAAGGAACCACAGGAGAAGGAGGAGTATTAACGGCTTCATAGCAGAGTTAAGCCGAGCCTTGAAGAACGAGCCCAGGATCTTGTTAGGCAGCGAGGACCACGGGCTTGTGGCAGAAGGAGGATCTCCAGGGAGACAGCAGCTGAGAACCTGCAAATGGCCTGGTTGGGTGAGGTTTTGTAAAGGCGGTATAAGCCTAGGAAAGTCCTAAACTGGGGATCTTGCATGCAATCTAGAAGGCAACAGGGCACCCCCACATGTATCTGAACAGGGTGTGCAACGGCAGTGTTTCAGGAGGAGCCAGCCAACCTGGGAGCTCTCGGGAGGCCTTCTCCAGGGGAATGACACAGGCCCAGCCCCCTGGGCTCTCGGCGGGCCCCAGAACAAGGAAAGAAAGCCAAAGACATCCAGGAAGACATTAGCACCCAGCCCTAACGTTTGATCTTGCCGGCACTGGACTTCTCTCCACGCTCCTGCAAAACCTACCTCATTGTCAGGAACCACACCCCTGGCCCAGTCGGGCCACCCAACTACCCCAGTGTGTCATGTTTTTCCTTGTTAGCTGTGGTTGCTGTTACAGTGTTTGAATGTGAAGGCGATGTACAGCTCCCTTCTCTACGTAGTCTGGATTCCTGTCGTTCATGTATTTATTCAGTCGTTGTGCTTTTTCTCTGTGTCTGTGATGACACGTGATATTTGATTTTTCATCGAGGAAGGAGTGGAAAACACGAGAATACAGGTTGTTGAGCCAGGTGTGACTTCCTTGCATTTCCATAGGCAGAGCATTTCAAACTTGTCACTGGAGAGCCTCAACTGGGATTCCGGGGGGTTTCTTTTCAGTTCTGGGTCTTACCTTAAAATTTCATGTAAATCCTGCATACTCACAGTATATCCAGCCCTCCCTGTCATGATGTACCAGGTGTATCCTGTGGCTTTGGTGGTGACCCGGGGCTCACCACCGTGGACCTCTCTTTGACAAGAGGCCATCCTGATCATTTCAGTCTAGGACAGGATTATTGCTTTGCACATGAGTCACTTGTGTCTATTTCACTCTGATCAAAGGAAGCCTTTAAACCTTATTTAGTTTTTTTTTTTTTTTTACTGTATAGGTTAACAATTGGCAGATAGCAGCATACATGCTGTATTGACCGCTCGGTGGGAAAACACGCTCTTCAATAGAAGATCCCTTGGTCCACGCAGATAGATTGACACTGAAGTCCAATCACCCTCTCCACAGTGCGGAACCTACAGGGAGGCGGAAGAGGGAAGAGGAGTTCTGGAGAGGACAGAGGGGCTTGGTCGTTTGACCCATGCAGGTTGGCAGCAGGAAATTATCCTTGATTGATAATCTTTGTGTAAAATAGGTACGTTCTTAAGAGCTCCATCTTCACACAGTAACACTGCTTGCTCCAGAGGCTCGTGACCTCCAGGTGCAACTTCAGTTGCTTCCTCCCAAATCATCAGCTTCTGACCCCAACATGTTCTTTTCAGCTCAGCTTCTCTGTTATTTCCCTCCTTTATCCCATCCTCGTGAAGGAGCTAAGAGTGCGTTCCTACTCCGTCTGTCGCTTCTCAGTTTTCTCCAGAGATGTTGCCTCCTTGACATAGTATTAATATCAGGGTTCCCCTAAACCCTGCCTCCCTTTTCTTTGCTGGGACTGCACGAGGGCCTTCTCCTCCCCAGAGCTGGGCATCTTCTTGCTTCCCCAGGGCCAGGCTGTGTATGGCGGGGCTTGCCTTACCTGGGCCACAAGGAGGCTCCTCCCACAGAGCCCTCCTGCCCCGGAGGGAGCTTCTCCAGCTCTTCCTGCCCCCAAACCTGCTCTGGGGCTCCTGCCCTGACCTCAGTACAGCTCTCCCGACCGCGAGCTACCACGGCTGCTTGTGGTTTAGGGTTCATTCTAAGTGTTGCCGTTGCTAGCCCATCCATTTTCTTTCCTGGTCAAGCTAAGTTAGAGCAGATAAAATATTTAGTCACTCATTAAATATTTCTTGCCTTGGATATGCCTCTATCAGAGATCTGTAGTCACAGAAACACACACATGAGCCAAGAAGAAAAAATCGTGTGGCAGCTGCCCAGCTCTCCTCTCCTGCCACCCGCTTCCTGTTTACTGCCTAAGACTTGATGAACCTGTACCTGCTACCGCCCAGGGCACATCAGAGTCACCGAAAGCCCTGGGAGGTGACTATTTTGATATGGAGGGGAGAGAATTGCTCCTCTCAACCCTTGGGGACAACTTTAGGACCATCACTGGCCAGGGTTATGTCCTGCCCCAAGGGGTTGGGGAGAGACTGGGAGGAAGCCGACAGGGAACATGCGCACAAACAGTCTTGGAAATAACGCACATGCAGTCTCTCAGCGCGGGGAAGGTGGCACGAAGTGTCACTGAAGAGAGCTGTCATGCGTTGGAACTGCCTGAACATAATAAACGATCCTGAAAGGGACACTTTCAGGGGCCACTTTGGCCATAGTTGCAGCCGTTGTTGGATCTGTTACCTGAAGTCAGGGTTGGATACAGGCAGATGGCGGGGGAGAGGGCCTGGAAGCAGAAGGGAAAATACTGGTCTCCAACGAGAGGGATTTGGGAGGAGAAGGAGAAATAAACTCTCCAGGTCAAATGAATGGAGAACAACTACCCAAAGGCCAAGTGTCGGGTGGGCTGAGGCCTGATCATGGACCCTGGGCAAGCCCTTCAGTTCCTTGCAGGAGGGATGCAAGCCACGCCAGGGGTAGGGTCTCAGCACCACCTGAGGCTGGTGGGTCAAGCAGCAACGGCAGGGAGGTGGCAGAGCCTCACTGAGGAGAGACCACAGAGCAGATCCCGGCTGGCAGGGCTCTCTCTAGACTCCGTTCTCCCCAGCTCCCGGAGTTTCCGCTCACAGTCGAAGATAATTACCGGAGATGCAATGGCGAGGAGGCGGCATGGCTTATATTCTAGCTGCCCACCATCAGCTTTTCTAGAAAGCAACTTTAACGCTCTCTACCCAACAGTGAAAAATTGTAAATGGTCATTTCTTTCCAGAAATACAGGTAATTTCCTGAGGAGCGTATCCAAACCAGCGAACCTTTGTTTCTGGGTTCCATGCCTTGGTTAGATGGGCCAGTTAAAAGAATCAGCAGGGAGAGCCGTTTAGAACGGGCCCTGTTGCTGAACACCCTTCACGACAAGAGGCTGGAGTCGCATCATCGTGCAGAGATCCTCTGGGGAAGCCAGGCCTTTACTGACGCTGGCCAGAACGGGTCACCATTCTCTACCTGTGAATGGGATTTCTCGTTGTCATGGTTACAGTTAACGGAAATTTAGTTCAACATGATGACACATATATACATCAATGGTGACATCAGATTTGACCCTTCTATGTGTGGAAAGAAACAATGATGGATGCCTCTATCTATGGAGGTCCTGGGAGGGCTTTCGGAAGCCCCATGCGGCTTTGGGCGTCCATGCAACCACTTAATTCACAGTTATTGGGGCCCACTGCATGGCAGGCGCTACGCTGGCACTAGTGATATCGACACGAATAACCCAGTCTCTGCCCTTAGGGAGCTTGGAATCCAGAAGGAAAAATTAGACCAAGTCTGCCACCCAGGGTCAGGGCTTCGTGACCAGGAGGTACTGCAGAGCCCAGCCCAAGAGGAAACACGCTCGAGACAAGCTGGGCTGGCTGGTTTGGGCTGCAGCAAACAGAGTGCGTTAGTTTCCTGTTGCTCTTATAACAAATTTCCACAATATTAGTGGCTTAAAACAGCACGTATGTACTGTCTTACAGCTCTACAGGTTAGAATGCTGACATGGGTTTCAAAGGACTAACGTCGAGGTGTCGACAGAGCTGAGCTCCTTCCTAGGGGCTGAAGGGGGACCCCACGCACTTGCCCCCTCCAGCCGCTCGGGCTGCCCTCTTTCCCCGGCCCACGGCCCCTTCCTCCAGCTGCAGAGCCAGCTACGCTGCTTGCTGCTGACCATTCTTCCCCAGCCTGCCTCCCTCTCACTCCAGAGATCGTCTCTAAGAACCCATGAGATTGAGCCCACCTAGGTAATCCAAGCTGATCTCACCGTCTCAGGGCCCTGCATTTAATCACATCTGCAAGTAAAGTAATACATTCACCGGTTCTAGGGATTAGGACGTGGACATCTCTGGGGACCATTATTCTGCCTGCTGACGTATGTATTCCTCTTGCTCTTTTGCTTTCCCAGTCATTACCCCTTGGAGATGCTGTCTGATATCGAAAGGCCGTTGTCTGGGGTGGCGGGGGCTGGGATATATGGGGCAGAGCTGGGGGAGGAGGACGGTTGTTTTGATATCCCCTGGGGGAGGACTGTGCAGTTGGGGAAAGACTCAATTTCATATTTATATTTGAAAGAAATAGAAAAGTCGTGTCACATGATGCAAACTACAGAAGGCAAAGCTCCGCCCAATGTGCTTGGCCAGCAGAGCGGCGGGAGGAAGCTCAGTCCTCCTGTTACCTAGGACAGGAGCAGGGCCCAGCGGTGGGGGTGGGGGTGCGGAGGACTTGTCCCTGGCGGTTGTATCAGACTCTTTCAAAAGAAGATGGAAAAACACCAAGTTGGGCCCGAATAAAGGTTCTAACTAACCTCTCCACGCCCACGCTCTGCCCACTCTAACCCATTTTTTATTTTGTCCCACCCAGTCATGGGTTCCCTTGAAAAGCTCTTTGCTAAAGTGTCTCATTCGTAGCAGCTCCAGAGCTGTCACCGGCAATGGCTGGCACAGGGCGGAGCCTCAGTGAGTGTTTGCTGAATGAATGGAATAAACTGAATGATTGCTGCTCATGTTGCTCCAGCTCAGGAACCTGCCATGGCTCCCCACTATCTGCCACATAAAATCCATCTGCCACATAAAATCCAGTTGTTCCAAACGAGGACCCCCACTGGCTTCCATCAGCTTATATCTGCCTGGTCCAAACCTCTTCTTTCTCAAGGCTATATTAGTCTGCGTGGGCTGCCATGACAAAGTACCCACTGGATGGATTAAACAACAGAAATTTATTTTCTGGAGGCCAGAAGTTGAAAATCAAGGTATCAGCAAGGTTGGTTCCTTCTAAGGCCTCTCCTTTTGGGTGGCAGATGGTCCTCTCCTGCCTGGGTTCAGATTTTCCTCTTCTTGTAAGAACATCACTCATGGTGGGTTAGGTTAGGGCCTACCCTAATGATCCCATTTTAACTTAATTACCTCTTTAAAGACCCTATCTTCAAATATAGCCACGTTTTGAGTACTGGGAGTTGGTACTCCAATGTATGCATTTTGTGAGAACTCAATTCAGCCTGTGACAAAGGCCCGTCTCACTGCTTTCTTTCTAAAACCTTCTCTACTTCCTCCTCTTTTCTCATCTCTTTCCTTCCTATTTTCTCTCTACCAAATTTTTCCCGTCTTGCACAACACGCACACACTCACGCATATCCTAGAAGTTATTTCTCTCTTCTCAGTAACGATAGCACGAAATATTTTTCTTGTGGTACTTAACACTTTTTACCTCGCATCATATTTTCTTGTATTTTACTTTGCCTTGTATTACATTCCCTGTCTTATATGATTATATAATATATGTTTACATGTATTATATGTGTGAATTCCTCAACTAGAATGTAAGCTCCTTCTGGGCAGACTCTGTCTCTACCTAATCTCTGTGGGTCTTACATGGCTTGATACAGGGCCTTCAACATAGTAGATGCTCAGTAAGTATCTAATGAATGAATAAAGATGGTGGAAGTTAACTATGAAGTAGTCACTTGAGTATGAGATGAGTTAAATATATCATAATACATTTATTTCTTGCTTGAAAAGCAGTTCTGAGAGGGCAAGGAATAAGAACCACGTGCAAGTTTGTGGCTAATAAACGTTTTCTAACAAGACTAATAATGTGCAGCAGAAAAGCCGACTGGTCCCGTGGCAGCATAAATCCAGGGCTATGGCTGAAAGACAAGGGATGCAAGGCCGTTGTCGAGAGGACCAGTTCTGGAGCTAGACTGCCTGGGTTTGAACTTGACTGTGTGCTATGGTTTGGATGTGGTTTGTCTCCACCAAAACTCATGTTAAAATTTTATGGCTAATTTAGCAGTGTTGGGAAGTAATACTTTTAATATGTGATTACATCACTAACATAGATGGATGCCTTCTTCGAAAGACTGGGTTAGTTTTCTCTGGACTCAGTTAGTTCCAGGGAGAGTGGGTTGTGCTAAAGCGAGGTTGTCTCTCGTGTCCTGCCCTTCCCAGGCGTGCACGACGCCCCTTCCGTTTCTCCGCCACGTTTTGATGCGGCAAGAGTCCCCTCACCAGAAGCGGCCAGATGTGGCCGCCCAATCTTGACCTTCTCAGCCTTCAGAACAGAGAGCTAAACAAACCTCTTTTCTTTATAAGTTACCTAGTCTCAGGCATTCTGTTATAGCAACGCAAAGCAGACTAAGACACTGTATGACCCTGAAAAACTTACATAACCTCTCTGTGCCGCAGTTTTCTCGTCCATTAATCGAGACG